ATAAAATAAAATGGAAAGTTTTAAACAGGAACGCTGTGGTTATAATATGCTCCAAACAGAAATCCTGCAACAGAAATGCATGTGAAGCTGTTTCAAAGCAATGAAAGCTAGGCTGGCGGCACATGTTTAAAATACCACCACTCGGGAGGCTGAGGCAGGAAGACTGTGGGTTCTATGGCAAGTGTGGGCTTCATAGTGAGTTCAAAACCAATTTGGAGGATATAGCAAGACTCTCTCAAAAAAAAAAAAACAAAACAAAACCAAGTAATAGAAACAAAGAACAAAAGAACAGAAAAGGCAATGAGAAGCAACGAGAAGTAGGTCATTACCTGCTTGAACATCCGGAGTCTGTCCAGTGTCCTCTGTCTCTCCTGACTCACCCAGGCACTTTTTTTTTCCTCTTCATCATGTAATCTTTCTCTTTTCTGGTAAACAAGAATATTTCATTATGCTGTGCGGGCAGGAGTGGGGTTTAATGAACACGCTGTGTTTTTGTTTTCCAAGACGAGATCAGGTCTTGTAGCCCAGACTGGCTCCAAACCAGGATCCTCCTGCCTCAGCCTCTCAAGTGCTGGGATTGTGGGTGTGTACTATGACTCCTGGCCTGAAATGCAAAGCTGTAACCCTGTTATACAATTCACTGTGATATGATGAACTAAAATATAATCATCTCAACTAAAAATTGCTTTTAACTTGATTTGGCCTTAAACAATTTTAGAATAAAATACTTCAAACATGCCATATTCCACTAACTCAAATACAGTTGACTTTAAATATAAAATTAAAACCAAATGTGGTGGACTATGCCTGTAACCCCAGCACTTTGGGAGGTTGATGTAGGAGGATTCTAAATCCAGCCCAGCTTGACGAACACCGTGATTACTGAAACCCTGCCTAAAAGTTTAAAAAAAAAAAGGATGGGGAATGTAGTAGCTCAGTTCAAAGACCCTAGGATTCCATCCCTAATACTGGAAAAATGATATTTTTTTTGAAAAGTTAGCAACTACTTGCTTAATGATTTAGATACTATATACATTTCCACCAAACTAACCAACAGGTAGGAAAAACATGCTTCTCTGGGCATGATGCTGTGCACCTGTAATCCATACATTCAGGAAGCTGAGGCAGGAGGACTGCCATGATTTTGCAAGACCCTTTCTCATATGAAGCAAAACAAAATATGCTTCAAAGGTTATTCATGAAACAATTGGCTTAACATTGCACTACACAGCTGGCAGTTATCTATTCAGAAATTTAAAACTTTTCCCATATTGTGAATCATCTAAAAAGTATATAATACAACCTTAATTTGGCAGAATGCATCTTAGTTAAACAAATGAGAGGTAGATGACTCTCCAGTAAGTAAACTGGCTATGACTGTTTTCCTGCTTTGTTTTTCAAAAACTGGAGAGGGGACCAGTAAACCTGGCAATTTCACATGGAAATTAACCTGCCTCTCCCATGCTTTCCCACCTTCCTTTTGAAATCCACTCAACGCTCTTATCCCACTGCCGCACCCCGCATTCCCAGCACTGTGTCCAGGGAAAGCTGTCAGTAATGAGAAGCTAGGGTGATCAGGACACGCACTTCTTTTCAATTCCTTAAAAAACAGGCGGGGGCGGGGGGGCAGATAAACTATGGATGAAAACAACCAAGAAAGTTAGATGATAGGCTATTTTAAGATATAATTCAGTAACATAATACTTATTTACACAAAAGGATATAAAAATCTCAGAGCCTGAAATATATTAACATGTACCGAAAGTACAAAGAGCAGCATAAAATGAGCAAACCTGAACAACCTGAACAAAATGAACAACCCCCTACATTACTAAAAATGGAAACTCAGCAGGGCAAGGGTCCTGCCATTGTTCTGATCATCTCAGTGACTGCGCTGAAATTATCATTAAACTGGACGGCCACAAAGTACTGGCAGGGAACCTTCGAATTAAAAATAGTAAGGCATCATAATTTTTCTTTTCTTTCTTAAAACCAACTGGAAACAAAGGGAATTTAAGAAGAAAACACTACCTCGAAATAAAACAAGACACCACTAACCTGAAGCTACATATGATGGTGCTGACTGCCAAGTGCAATCGATTTCTGACTAGAAGAAGAGACAGTACTGAGTCACCTTTAGATCCGTGCTATAAGAGAAAATTCTCTACAAAATAAACACTGAAAAATCCATCAGCTATCATCAGCTGAGAATGGTCTTCTACATGATTCCTCTACAGAATAATCAACGTGCAATATGGATGGAAGAGGAGGAAAAAGACAATACAGTACTGTATTTTATTTTCAGTAACCTTTCCCTGCTGAAGAAAAATGTAGTGTGTGAGGCAGGTTAAAGAAAGGAGGATGTGGCTAGGTGTGATGGCACACACCTGTAATCCCAGTATTCAGGAGGCTGAGGCAGGAGGATAGCCATGAGTTCGAGGCCAGCCTGAACTGCATAGTGAGACCCTGTCTCAAAAACAAAAAACCAAGAAAGGAGGATGTATAACAATCCAAATAGCCCACAACAGAGCAGGCTTCCAAAAGTCACAAGGTGAACAGACATAAGGGCCTTGTGAATGGCCAGGAAGGGACAGAGGAGCTCTCTGCTATGGGGACAGTGCAGGCCTGATGCCAAGGTGAGAAACAGTGAGAAAGGGAGTGGTATGGGATGCAGAGGTGGTTGCATACTTTATACTTTACAGGAGGGTGCTGGCTTCTACATGACAGCTGTAGTGGAAATGAAACCCCCTGCCTTAAGACATCACATGAAAGAACAAAAAGGTGAAAATCAGCTGAAGACAACATTCACCAAAGAACCTGGTGTGGACATCAGTGGTGTTCTTTATTTAAAGAGAGAACCTAACAGATGCAGAAATGGCTCACGCTAACCTGATACACAATCATCCCCAGGTAAGGGTTTAGACTTCCAGAGGAAGGACAAATTCTCCTGGGAGTCAGTCAGGAAAATCAAGTATCCTGTGGGGTAGGGTGGGCCTCAGCCCTCTTCACTGAACATTCCACACAGGGCAGCAGAGTCTTCAAGATTCCAGCACAGGGAAATGACCCAACCAAGCCATCCACTCTGCATGAAGATGATAAACGGGCATCCCGTGACATGCAGGAATTCAGAAAATACAACCAGCATAAAACTCCCCAACAGTACCTTGATGGAATGTAATCAACTTCAGAGGAACAAAAATGAACTCAGAAGCAAAAGGCTGCTAAGAGGATTACTGCTAAGCACTGAACTCCCTAAATCTAAACAACCAAGAGTTAAGAATAAATGGCCAAGAACAAGAATTGTGTAATGTTATTTTTACATTGTGAAGGCTTGTGGCGAACTGAATAGTGGAGGAAAGAGCTAGTGCTATCAAACCCCACTGGAGAGAAAGTGAAGCTCAACCTTTCCAACTCAGCCAACTGAGGGAGGCCGATGGTGCACTACCCCAGCTTAGGGATGCCTGGTGTTGAGGAGCAGAGAAGACGATGAGGGGTTAGGTGTTCATCTCTGAGAACACAGTTTTAGGACACTAGACACTCTTCAGAGAATCACGCTGAACTCACGTAAACACAGACTTCCTGAGAAACTGCACAGGCAAACCCTGAGAAAGTTAGGCTGGAAACAGGTCTAACAGCTGGGAGACACTCTTAGCAAAGTGGGGAGTGGAGGCCAAGTTTTATTAACTGTGTGGCCAGAGGCCAGGTGGTAGCTGCTGGCTAGGCATGACAGTCAGGCTTAATTGAACTTTAAAGGGCTCAGGAGCCCCTGGGAAATAGTAAAGCACACCTCGGGGTACGTGGTCATGAAGTGTGACCTCGGGGTTGATATCTCTGGCCACCCAAGGTGAGCAGCATCTGTCTACTTTGGAGCCAGCCAGTCATGGACTGAAACCTCTGAAACCATGAGCCTTAAGTTGTGGGCGTCAGGTATCTTCTCCCAGAGAGAAAACAAACATGCCAGGGCCAGGAGAGCCACCCTGTTTCCTAATGGGATGAATGCTCATGTGGTGGCACCGAGACCAATTCTACATGTTCTCTCTAGGTAGTGGTGGGCTAGAGCCTTTGGATATAGATCCATCTCCCAGGATTTATGGCAACAGGAACAGGGAATTATGGGTGAGTGTCCTTTTACAGAGGCCAGAAAGACCTTCTGCATTTAGAGCCCTAGGAGAGGATCATAATAATTCTCAATGATTAATTATGTCCCACTACAAAGCCAGTCACTTCTCAATAGAAGCCTCAGATGCCAGAAGACTTGCTATCTAGTCTTAAAGGTTTCTAAAGGGAAAACCAACGTGAGTATGTATATGACCTGAGGTCTGAACTTTTTTATTTTTTGGTTTTATGAGACAGAGTTCACCATGTAGAGCTCAAGTGGGCCTACAGCTCATGGCAATTCTCCCGCCTCAGCATCCCTGGTGCCAGAATTTCAGGCACGTGCCACCACAACGGGCTTTGAGCTCTGCATTTAAAGCAGACATAAAGGTTCCGTATGGATTTTTCCCTTTTGAGATAAAAACCTAGCCAGGTATGGTGGTGCACGCCTGTAATCCCAGCACTCAGGAGGCTAAGGCAGCACGATCATAGCAAGTTTGAGGACAGCCTGGGCTACATAATGAGTTCAAACCCAGCTGGTACTACATAGTGAGACCCTGTCTCAGACAGGAGAAGGAGAGAGGGAGAGACAGGGAGAGGGAGAAAGAAGGGAGGGAGGGAACGCAGGCAGGCAGGCATGCTGGCCTAGAATTGCTCAAGGACATAATTAGGCAAGCACCCCCAACTCACCACTCCTGTCTCTACTCCATGTTCCCATCTGCCCACAGGGCTGGAACAACCAACCCTCCTAACTCAGCTGAGCTGTTACAAACTACAGTGCATCTGGAAACCACTAGGATAGGGGAGTGTATCTTCCCACTGCCGATATTTAACATATATTTTATCCAGTAGGCCCTTGCGCTGAGGCACTGAGAAAAATCTACTTGCTATCCAGAGATATTTAGATTGAGTTTCATTTGTGAGCAAGCATCTCCAAACACCATGTATGAAACAGAGCAGCACTGTGTTCAGAGATAGAGAACCACAGAGTAACCACACTGCTCATCTCTTAGGACACCGAAAGTCAATCGTATTATAATCTGGAAGATTCCAGATGGAGGAGAATGGTTTCACTCTCCAGAGATGAACCGATGAGGCTGTGTGAGGAAACAGGAACTATATGCAGAACATTAAATGGTACCATCGTGCCCAAAGCACAGCTGTAACTGGCAGCACTGCGGTGAACACCCGTTTGCCGCTTTACCTAGGTAACTTCCATCAAACCACTTACTGATCCCAAGACCCAAGTTCATTTACCCATGAGTGTTGGAGGGACAGCCGTTAGAGGTAATCTAAGAGACCTGGGTTTCTGCTAACATTGCTTGGGGGC